CGGTAAGTGGGAGGATCGCCTAATAGTTACCACTTTTTCGGTGCGCAGAGGCGCGTAAGTAGGTGAATGAGTAGATGGGCTAAAATATTTATCGGGATCACTCACAGCTCCCATCAGAAGCATCCACAGCCATCTCCTGGTCGCATGTTATCCAGATTTACGCGCGAGATCGAATTACTACAGCTGGCCCCTTAAACCACCTTTGAAGCGAACTTTCAAACATGAAAGAGCACAAATGAACTGCGAATCCTAATGTCACACAGAACTTTGTTCCCAGATGTCAGAGAAGAATCTAGTTTCAGCAACATACCTTTCTGTCGCACTCTTATTTCCTAACCGTCTAATCTCATTCGCCCGTAGCTATGCGACTGCCTGGTGCTAGTGTCAACAGGCAGGTGTTAGTCTATCAAGGGTCTACGAGGGAGGAGATAAGGCGATGAGGCAATTTTTATGCATCCCCTTTCTCCCTCAATCCATTCACTTACCTGCCTCTCTCTACCCATCTATTAGTGAATTGTCACCAAAATCAGGTGTCTTAAAGTATTTACAGGCAGTGAGTTCCTTCACCTCATTTCACTCCTCCCAATTCCACTCAACAAATGCCAACGCTTGGTGCGGCAACCACAGCGTTGGAACCGAGTTCAAGCTTGGAACTCGGCTCGGGGAGCAAACGGGATGGCATCACCTCCGTTAGGTTTATTTAACCAGCACTATTTAGCATAAGGCTTCAAATAAGGAGACTAGCTAACAAACTGTTAAAAGATGGCCTATACTTTATAATTAATATACAAACACACACTGTCGCACCAGCTATCCAAACCGCTGCAGGAACTTTTCACTCATCTGACAACCAGTTTCGAGGGTTCTCGGTTCTTCCTGATGTAGGTTAAAAGAACACCAGTTTAACTTTGACCTTCTTTCACTCCTTCTCCGAGATGGGATGGATGATGTGAATACTTGATTAAAATACCGTGGGAAACGTTAAGACTAGTCCGCTCATTATGATTTATCAAAAAAATTTAAAAACTCTGAAGATCCAAAGCTCTGTTAGCACCGAGTCTTTCGATAAGTCATCTATCATTGCGCAGATTTTGAATGGGTTTATTTATTTACTTATTGTTTCGGATCTAGCTTTCTTTTAGGCAAGAGTGAATGTCTTAGCATCTCCCTGTGGGCCCCTTGGAATTGCAGTAGGCTATGCGTTTTTGCGAACCTTTTAATATCCCCTCACTTAATCCATTTCGCCCCTTTCCTTACGTCGGGCAATGCTCTGGACGTCATATTATCTCTTAAATAATTAGCCTCCCTCCGTCATTTTAAGTAACTTTAATGCAAAGCAAGAGGAAAAATAAACAAGGAAAATTTAATTTTAACGCAGTCGATACAGCCCTGCACTTAAATTTAACCGCGAAAGGGTTTCAACTTTCCTAATTAAGAGAGTCCCTGCAGGTTTTGACAGGGACCTCTCCTATTCACCTAGATGTCAGGAAGCAGCTTCTGGGTATCAGACGAAAATAGTTTTTATTTCCTCTATAAGGTAGTTCACGTAAATCAGTTCCTTGGTTCACTGCCACTAAAAAAGTCTACCAAACTATAAATACAAATGCCTCATTGTGGTGCGTAAAAATGGTGACACGCGAAGAGCTCTGCCTGATTTACAACGCCTCCCTCGAATCCACGTTCATCATCTGCAAATATTCAAACCACAAACACTTATATGAAGAGTCAACAAATGGGGGAAAAGTTGGTTGAGATTACGTGTGTGTCTATACCCATCTTCAATGCAAAGCGTTGGATAGCAAAGTTTAGGTGCTTGAACATTGCAAAATGGTGAAATTATGAAAACTCCTGCCTACAGCTAACTAAATTTCTAAACAATCGTGCAGATTTTGACCTTTTCTAAAAAGAGATAAAAGCTAGATATGTCTTTATGCCCGTTTTCATCTAAAATTGGTGTCGTTTAGGGGAATTACCGATGTCTTGGATACCCTTTTGAGATGTCAGTTGTCCTTGTGTCAATATAGTTTGGGTATACGGACACTCAACAGATTAATGTGCGATCTGGTTCGGAGTCATAATTTAGAGGAATAAAAATCTTAAGTACTGCATTTATTTTAACAGTAGCTGAATCATGGAGGCAAACAGCTGTTCCATCTATATTACCCAGTGCCTACTGAGTACGAATTAAGTATGTAAAACCTCTCAAACCCGAGCAACCGCGTCATGACAGATCACTATCCCGAGCATAATGTCTCCTTGCATCCAACGACAGAGACAAGATGGTCCAATGAAACTTCTTTTAAATGAGAATGCGAAGGAAGTAGTAAAAGTGACTTCGACAATAGCTTAGATCTACCCGATTGGCTGCTACTGAACCACAGACGGACAGCGCATCAACACGCGCGCGCCAAGCCAAAAGTGATCGCCCGTCGGGATTGGCGGTGGGGGGCAAAGGACAGACTTGAAACCGAAGATTGAGGGAGCTGAGATTCGCCGTTCATATTCAACCGGTGGTTCATCTCCTCAACTTCTCATCCACACACGCACACACACAGGCAAACACAACCATATACTCTGGTTCGCCATGACGGTGAAGAGGGAGATTGAAATTGAGTCAGAGAGCGGTGGCTACCTCGCAGAGGGCGAGCTAGTGACCTCTGACCCACAGGATTCCGGAGTTGAAGTAGAAGGACGTGGAAAGTGGAAGCGAAACATCGATTTCCTCTTTGCCTGTCTCGGCTTCTCTGTCGGCTTTGGGAATGTCTAACGTTTTCCATATCTCTGCTTCAAAAATGGCGGTGGTTCGTTCCCTACAGACTCTTTCTTTTATATTTTAATAATTACTAATAGTAGACGTGAAAATGTTCTGCAAAACGAAGCGCAACCTCGACAAAAGCCTTGACAAATGTTAAAAAGGGTGAATCCTAAAACGAGCAGTCCATACCTTAAAATATCCTCTAGAATTGCATAATGTGACTCGGATACCGTCTACTCCTCTAGGAAATGATCAAATTTTATTTGAATCAGCACTAAACCTTCAACTTCCATTAGCTTTATGCGGGCATTTAATTTGAGGAATGACTCGAATGGGACTCACCACAAAAGGTTGATTACCTTGCATTATAATTCCCTATTTATTAACCC